TGATCGTAAATAAAACAAAATTCCATTTTCTCGGTTTAATGAAAACCAATAGGTCGTTATGGCGGCGAATAAACATCCGGATATCTCTCCAATGGAGCGTGTTAATGCAAACGTGTAAGTTTCACGTTTGAGGGGGTTAAACCGTGACATCTACACATTTTCCAAAGTGGACTATTTAGGCTGCTTCATTAAAACTGTGACATTTAGACGTTTTTTTTTCAGCGTGGATCGAAGCAAATGAATCCTGTTCACTTTGAAAATAATAAATGTTTTTTGCATTTTAAATATTAGACCATTTCTCAGTGATCGTCAATAAAACAAAATTCCATTTTTCTCAGTTTAATGAAAACCAATAGGTAAGTTTCAGTTTTGTGTAAGTTTTCACTTTTGAGGGGGTTAAACCGTGACATCTAACGCGTTTTTCAAAAGTGCACCAAAGTGATTATTTATTTTGTCAATTTTACACGGATTGACAGGAAGGGTTGAAGAAATATTGTTTAGGCCACTTTTGTTTGAAATAATCACAATAAAATAATGCAAATATGGGAATTGAACTCAGGTCTGATTAAAGGCCAACGCTTTATCAACTAAGCCAGTGAATCTGTTGAGTTCAAGGGACTATTGGACGGGGTTTTATTGCAGGTTTGGTTTTATTTGTTGGAAAAATAAATATAGAAATATAATTTGACACAAGAGGGCAGTATAGCCCTATTTATGGTTTGAGTTTAAACTAAACCGTGACATCTACACGTTTTCCAAAGTGGACCAACGTGATTATTTCACGTCTTGTCGTGATACGGGTTGGGCACTGAAGTTACAGGAGTTTCTTCTCGTTGCTAAGCAATGGAACTAGGTCAAGTATTTAAAAAGTTATGGTTAACACGGTTAACGTGGTTTAACGTCGATGTAATACGTTGTTTTTAGCGTACCTTTTGCTTAAACGAGGAGCTGGGGGACGCCGGAAAAATAGACATTTTACTCATTAGGCTGCTGCTTCATTAAAAACGTGACATTTAGACGTTTTCTTCGGCGTGGATCAAATTTTAAATAATAGAACATTTCTCAGTGATCGTAAATAAAACAAAATTCCATTTTCTCGATTTAATGAAAACCAATAGGTCGTTATGGCAGAGGCGATTATAAACATCCGGATATCTCTCCAATGGAGCATGTTAACGCAAACGTGTAAGTTTCACGTTTGAGGGGGTTAAACCGTGACATCTACACGTTTTCCAAAGTGGACCAACGTGATTATTTCACGTCTTGTCGTGATACCGGGTTGGGATATATTATCGCCAGTCCTTTTGGCGAATAATCAAACACAAAAAGCAAAATTATACATCCATCAAGTTAATATTCAAACTTACCGAAAGTTTGTGGGGTCGATGATGACGCTGTGTTTTAAGAATAGACTAGAATGAAGTGAGAGTAAAGGCGATTTATTGATGTATTCTAATAAGGCGCAGGCAGCCATCATCTAGGCCTACTTGCAGCAGCAGGTCGATCGTTCACAAGTTAAATATAGAATAAATGTATCAAATTAAAACCTGACGTTTCAATTTTGCCCTGCTGCCCACGGGGGTTTGATTGACAGGTGGCCTGGCCAATCATAACGCCGAATAAGCAACTTTGTCTGACAACAAAGCTGTCAGTAACGTCGGTGGATATGAACCTGAAAACGGTATTGTTTAAATTACTTAAATGACAATATTTGAAAGTTGAGACTTTGTTTCATATCATCAGTAAGCTGCTTTGAACTCTCTCTCGTAATCACTCGGTGAGTCTTTGCCCCCCCGCGATGTATTTTTCACTGCGTGAGTGCATGAGAACATGATATGCGTGACTCGTGAGACCCGCCTGGCTCGTGGCTCGTCACATACTAAAAAAGGCGGGTCTTTGCGAACGTCTCTATTAATGATAATGATTCCATAATGCATGGAATATAACAAGGGAAAGTGCCACTAAATTACAGGACTAATTTGTGGGGGACGTTGCGTGGTAAGGCTTTGGTAATCAGATGGCTTGCAGTATTGCTCCACAGCCAATCACGGGCCCCCTCCTTGCTTGTGCCCCTGGGCTTTAGCCCCGCCTAGCCCTATGGTTAATGCGGCCGTGTTGGTGAGCCTTTCTCTGCAGGCATGTAAACAAATAAGCCGGTCAGATTTCGCTCCCCCTCTGATGTAGGAAGAGGATCTTATTATAATTTTACCGGCCCTTTAATCTGCATGTTTCCATCCGCGCTGTCGACATTTGAATTGGAGCAAAGCATGAAACTGTTCTGTCACTGCTCCACAGATAAGCACTGAACACTATTGACCAAAACTGTCAACTTGTGTAAGAAGTTAAACATGGCAGTACATGGAAGTTGATGAGATAAATCAATGTAAGCTAACTCCATAATGACTACATAAATGTATGAGTCTTTGTAATTCTGCACTCCGCTCTGGGTTATTTCTGCGATTTGACTGAAATTTGCATTGGTTATTGCTGGAGTATCCAAAGACTCCGCCCTCTTCTGCTCATTTGCATTTAAACGGACACAAAAACAGAGCGATTTTGGTCACACTCAAAAATGGGCAACTTTAATGAGCTATAATGATTCTTTGAGCTGAAATTTCACGGACACATTCTGGGGACACCATAGATTTATAATACATCTTGTGAAAAGGGGCATAATATGTTAGCCTGGCTGCGCCCTCCTACGCACTTCCGCTCAATTTCATTTTACTTCAGTAACTACGTCTGGGATCGCTCCATATCCTTAGGTTTCCAGAAATAGATTTTTTGTAGGACCAATCAGCGAATAGAGGGAGTGGCTGAGAACGATGACGTTGATGTAAGCGCGTCAGTTTGAGTTCAGTAATGGCAGCGGAGAAAGACGTGAGAAAAGCTATTCGGGCCGTTGTTGGAAAAGAGACTGCCGAATATACAGAATTTAAAGCCGGATTGTTATCGTCTAACCTCTTGTTGCACAACTGAGGACCAAGTGAAGGAGGCAGAAAGTTTGGAAGTTTGTGCTGGGCAGCTCGTGCACGATGACCGTGACATTTTGGACGGACAGTTTAGCCTGGTGTTCGGAAGCCCCGAGTCCTGGCTGCTAAACTATTGTTGAAGATCGGCTCAGGAGTCATGTCAGTCGCTCATATTCCCAACTGTATATTTACTGATTCTTGTGATGAATAGAACATTTTGAGCCCCTTTGTGCACTCGTGCAGGAGGTTGATGTGTCGGTTTTACATGTTGTAAATCATACAAATTGGTTGTGATTTTTAAAAAATAATTGTCATAAATAAAAATGTGAAAAACCATACTTTGAAGATATTTGATTTTCAGTTTTAGATGGCAATGGTTGATTTGTTTTACTAAAAAAAACTAAATGCCACATAAAAATGTACAAACACATACTTTGAAGACCATAATTAAGGTAATTAAGAAACAATAAGACGTAATATGAAAAATTGTTGTTTATTACACATCTGCAGATAGAGACTGATCATTCACTGTACAGCATTTGCGGCAGATCAGAAAACGACCACAGCGGCGTATTTGTAATGATTAGACACAGCTTCCGCCATTGAATGAATATATCACTGTCCTTCGTGTCAAATATACATTTCGAATTAATAATTGTTCCTAGATTAACAAAACCTGCGGCGCTCGTTGACTGAAATCCTATTGTAAACATAATCCTCTGATCATTCGGACTTGTTGTTTCCAGCCGTTTCGGCGCGTGACATACGTCACTCACGACACCCCGTTAGCGATTGGCTATGGCAGATCGTGAGTGACTTTGGGCAGATCCAATAGATTTGAACTTTAATAGTGAACCCGCCTACAAGGAAGGAAACGTTTCTCAATGGAGCGGTTCCAGACTCTATGTGGAAATGGAAATGAAATGAACTAGAGTCTGGTTGAACCAGTCTAATAATATGTAACCATAAGGGATTAAATTATTGACTAGGGGGACTTTAACACTATCCCTGCCCAGACTGATCTCATGAAGTAGCGTGTGTATGACACGCCAATTCGTATTTCCATTTTTGGAGTGCTATCAACACGCATAATCACTTTTCAGCGTGTTTATGAACGCCGTTGACTTTGACGTTATTACTGTATATATAAATATATGACTTACCTCAACCCCGTCCCTAAACCTACCCGTCACTGGCATTTGAGTCTTCCCTTAACATCCTAGAAAAAAAAAAAAAAAAAGATCGCTCCCCAGATGTAGATCTACATTTTGCTTCGTTTCGCTCGGATATTTGACGGGGTGTACAGACACGCGGAATCACTCTGGCATTAATTGCGTAGACATACACGCATACACACGCGGATAGCTCAAAATGCGTAGAGATAACACGCCACTTGACTCGAAATTGGCGCGTATGTTTACGCAAAAGTCATGATGTCATGTTGCCCTGCCATTGATTGAATTCACCGGCTAGCCATGTTTCCACTGTTATACAGTAGGTGGCGCTGTTACACGTCTCCTGAAAGAGTACAGAATCTCCGGATCGAAACACAGGAGAAGAAACAATAGATATGCATTGCTGACGCACATGTCAATTCTAACACGATCATCAGACATTAAAACAGCATATAAATCAAAACTGCCAAATGTTACTGAACACAATGTCGACCCAGGACTATGAAGCTTTGAGGTGTTGATGGACCCGATCGACTCCACCTGTGTTTCGATCATCACTCCGAACCTAATCCAACAAAATCTTTAACAAATCATTATTTTCTTAGCTTTTTCTTCAAATGTTGCTTCTTCTTTATTAAACTTCAAGTGTTGATAAAAAAAAATATTATATATATGAAGATAGAATATAATGTTGTCTCGGTTGTTTCTTTGGCATTGCATCATACAACATAATATACTGGGAGCCATTAAAGTTATAAAGTTTTTTTTAATTACTCTCTGCCTTTTGTGGCATTTTAGTTAATGCTAGTTTATTACCGTTCTAAACAGAGTAAAAAAATGAAAAGGGCAACAATCATGATTTAGCATATTTTATTACCATTTTGTGCAACAAATAAAACCCCATGGAGTAAAACTGCTGCTGTGCTTTAATAAACTAAACTGAGCGTGTGAAGAATCCAGACAGACACAGATGATCCCATTCAACACGTTATAACGTCTTTAAGACTTAAACACTTAGATTCCCTTAATTGGTTAATAACTGCCAGCAGAAGTAACACACAGTCACACATTCAGCTTATCAGGAGTGTGTTTCCCACTCGCGCATCGCTGAAGACATCAACTACTGGTTTCGTCTCAAAGTGGTCGTTCAACCACGCTGGTTAATGATGTCACGCGGGTGTTGGAGTAATGAATCTGTTTGCAATCAAATTAACGCTAGATATTTTGTTATAAATTACAGACGTGCATTTATCTCAGTTACATTGCTTTATTTCTAGATTCGATCATCACCTTGTTCACACACACTAGAGCTCGCTCACACACTTAGAACTCGTTCACACATGCACACTCTTCAAAAACGAAACTATACAATCTCTTTGAGAAACTAAAAGACGTAAAAGACATTTGTGTGTATTCTAAGTAAAATACACGGGTTGCACTGAATGTCAGATTACTTATTTTGCTCAAGATCAGGATTTAATAGAGTCACATGTCAGATCTACCCGCAGATCGAGAGCCGTCGCTCTCACACAACTCTGCGAATGTTCGTTACAACTATAGGTTCGGGAAACACTCGTTGAACTGCTGATAACGAGTATCTGGCTAACGACGCTTTCGGGAAACACACCCATGATCGCTGAATGCATGCAAGCTCACGTAAAGTCCCCAAATAAATCTAAACACGGTGTCATGAATAACCACACACTTCATTATCAATATTAATTCCTACCTTGTTTATGCTAATATATGCATGATGTAAACAAGCTGATAGAAAAAAATAACAACCGAACGGATAGTTTGACAGAGAACATTAACCACTGAACATGTAGAATAGAGCGATAGCTTTTACTGTAAATGAACACACCAGGGACGTCTGCTACCGTAAAGCAGTTCTCTGGAGATATGAATATGATTATACTCCCGAGAGTCAGTCCACAGGAAAGAGCTTTTCCACAACGTTACTGTCGTTCAGTTCATATGGAGAACCTCTGGATCTGAATGTTACGGGGTCCGACGGCAGATCCAGAGTGATTTGGTTTTGGCAGGTTTGGATACAGTTTGTGTTTGTGAGGTCAGACCTGTGAGATCTGCTTCTCTGTGGGTTTGGACTCGGCCTGTTGCTCTTCCTCATCTTCGTCTTCATCGAAGTTCAGTTTCAGGCTTTCTAGAGTTTGTCTCGACTCTTTCCTCCTGCGGGACACAATATTACGAGAACGTTAACCTAGAAGTCCCCAAATAAATCGGAACATGGTGTCATGAATAAACACACACTTCATTATGAATATTAATTTCTTCCTTGTTTATAAAAAAATAGAATAAATGTTTGATATTAAAGAGTTTCCAGCAAGGCCTTAATGCAAAATAATCTAAAAACAATTAATGAATAGTATTTAGTATTTATGACTATATATATGTTATAAATATTTCTTTCAGACACCATATTAATATATGCTAATTTACAAATAAATTAATAAATATGAATTTATTATTTAATAAATGTATTTAATATTAATATGCTTTAAAGGGATGGTTCACCCAAAATTCTGTCATCATTTACTTGATGGGCGAGAGTGTACTTGTTGGTCAGCTGTCGTCGTGTCAGTGTGTGTGTGTGAGACTGTGTGTACACACTTGTTGGTCAGCTGTTGGTACAGCATTTGTCGTGTGTGTGTGTGTACGCACTTGTTGGTCCAGCAGTTAACATGCGTGTGTGTGTGTGTGTGTGTGTGTGTGTGTGTGTGCGTGCGCGCACTTGTTGGTCAGCAGTTGGTCCGGCAGTTGTCGTGTGTGTGTGTACGCACTTGTTGGTCCAGCAGTTGACGTGCGTGTGTGTGTGTGCGCACTTGATGGTCAGCTGTTGGTCCAGCAGTTACCGTCTCTGCGTGTGTGTGTGTGTGTACGCACTTGTTGGTCCAGCAGTTGACGTGTGTGTGTGTGTGTGTGTGTGTGTGTGTGTGTGTACGCACTTGTTGGTCCAGCAGTTGACGTGCGTGTGTGTGTGTGCGCACTTGATGGTCAGCTGTTGGTCCAGCAGTTGACGTGTGTGTGTGTGTGTGTGCGCGTGTACACACTTGTTTGCCAGCTGTTGGTCCAGCAGTTACCGTCTCTACGTGTGTGTGTGTGTACGCACTTGTTGGTCCAGCAGTTGAAGTGTGTGTGTGTGTGTGTGTGCGCACTTGTTGGTCAGCAGTTGGTCCGGCAGTTGTCGTGTGTGTGTGTGTGTGTGTGCGCACTTGTTGGTCAGCAGTTGGTCCGGCAGTTGTCGTGTGTGTGTGTGTGTGTGTGTGTACGCACTTGTTTGCCAGCTGTTGGTCCAGCAGTTGTCTCTGCAGTCGGCTGTTGGCCTCTCTCTCCTCCATCAGTTCTCTCTGTGTGTGTCGGTGTTGAACGTCCCGTCGACTCGCCTCTTCCTCGGCCTCGTTCAGCTGCCTCTTCAACACACGCATCCGCTGAGTCATCTACAAACACACACAACCTTCAGACCAGAGGACCAACACACTCCCTTTCACATTCGATCCTCCACCGGGAGAAAATTGGAAGTCGGCTCACTTGTTCGATCACTAACGATAACTACAAGAATAAAACTTGCATCGGCGCAAATACAAAAAATATATGGAAAAATAAATGCAAGTATAAAAGAGACCATTTATTAAATAAATATTATTGTGTATAATTGTGTGTGTGTGTGTGTTTGTTTTATGCTGTTGTTCAGTGGTGTGTCTCCCCGTGTGGTCTGTCAGTGTGCGTGTTTGTGTGTGTAGTACCAGCTCCCTCTGCTGTCTGTCTGTCAGTATGTGTGTTTTGTGCTGTTGTTCAGTGTTGTGTCTCCCTCTGCTGTTCGTCAGAGTGTGTGTGTGTCGTACCAGCTCCCTCTGCTGTCTTTTAGCGTGTGTCATACCAGCTCCCTCTGCTGTCTGTATGTGTGTGTGTGTTTTGTGCTGTTGTTCAGTGTTGTCTCCCTCTGCTGTCCGTGTGTGTGTGTCATACCAGCTCCCTCTGCTGTCTGTCTGTCAGTTGGAGTGTGTGTTTTGTGCTGTTGTTCAGTGCCGTGTCTCCCCCTGTGGTCTGTCAGTGTGTGTGTGTGTGTCGTACCAGCTCCCTCTGCTCTGTGGAGATCTTGTTCTCCTCCTCCACCTGCTCCGTCAGCTCGTGGATCTTCCTCTCCAGTTTGCTGATGGTGTTGCTCATGACCACTTTATTCCTGAGGAGCAGAACGAGTCTTTAGAGGATCATTCTGACACACAAGGGTTCTGGACTCAATCTTGCAGAACCCGTCATGCCAAACGGGTACAAGGAGAAATCTTAAATGATTGGATGATACAAATAGTATGTTTATGAGCGGTTTAATTCATAACATTTAATTAAAAAAAAAAGAAAAGAAAACAATAATTAAACTAAATCAAATTAAATCCGTAACACGATCCATGATGGAACCGCTAGAAGGTTCTATATATGAAGTGCTGGGCGGAACCCAAATAGAATCTGTTCTTCAAATTTTCTCCAAAAGCCAAATTATTAGGAAACTTCAGAGCCCATATATGCACATGGCATTGGGCAACGATTAATCACATCCAAAATAAAAGTTTGTGTTTACATGATATATGTGTGTGTGGTGTGTATAATTATTTTGTATATATAAATACCCATACATGCATGTATATATTTAAGAAAAATGTGTTCTTAATATATCAAATATTTATACATAATATTAAATATGTAAAGTATATACATGCAAATATTTCTTAAATATATACATACATGTGTGTGTATTTATATATACAAAATAATGAATACATACCACACACACATATATTACGTAAACACAAACTTTTATTTTGGATGCGATTAATCGTTGCCCATTGCCATGTGCATATATGGGCTCTGAAGTTTCCTAATAATTTGGCTTTGGAGAAAATTTGAAGAAAAGATTCTATTTGGGTTCCGCCCAGCACTTCATAGAACCTTGTTGCGGTTCCATCATGGATTAATGATGATTAACGATTAATCACGATTAATTGTTGCCCATCCCAAATACAATATATTATGGAAGCTTGTTTCCGCCACTGAATAAAAAAATAAAATAAATAATTGCGACTTTTTATCTCACAATTCGGACTTTTTTTCTCACAATTGCGAGTTTATATCTCACAATTCTGACTTTATTTCTCTGAATTGCGTGATATAAAGTCGCAATTGCGAGTTGTAAAGTCAGAATTGTGTGTTATAAAGTCAGAATTGCGAGATATAAAGTCAGAAATGCGTGATATAAAGTCGCAATTCTGAGAAAAAAAGACAGAAGTGTGACTTTTTTTCTCACAATTGCGAGTTTACATCTCGCAATTCTGACTTTATAACACATAATTGCGAGTTTATATGTCTTTTATATGTCTTTATATGTTTATATATACATATACATACTTTTCTCAGAATTGTGAGATATAAACTCGCAATTGCGACTTATTAGGCCAATTCTAAGGGGTCTTCTTTTTTCCCCCCTCAGAATAGTTTAAATCTCACAATTCTGACTTTATAACTCGCAATTCTGACTTTATATCTTGCAATTCTGACTTTATAACTCGCAATTCTGACTTTATAACTCGCAATTCTGACTTTATATCACACAATTCTGACTTTATATCTCGCAATTCTGACTTTCCATCTTGCAATTCTGAGAAATAATGTCAGAATTGCGAGAAGTAAACTCACAATTGTGAGAAAAAAAGTCAGAATTGTGAGATAAAAAGTCGCAATTACCTTTTATATTTTTCATTCTATGGCGGAAACAAGCTTCCATAGTATATAGACACCGGTATATATGAAAAGGGAGAAAAATTACATTTCAATGCGTTCTCTTGCCCAACTATTGCATTCCCCAGATAGATGCATTCCCTATAAAATATCCTGTAAGTTTCAAAACTCAAAACATCCTTGATATTCGAAAAATAGCTTTTTTGGGATCAAGGACAGAAAACGACAAGATCTGAAACACGCTTTATTTCTAAATTGTGAAAAAAATGATGTAAAAATCATATTATCATTATAAGAGCACCTCAAGAAAAATCCAGTTCATGACCCAAACTTAAATTAATCTCCCATGAACATGAACTAACAATGAGTGTGTGTGTGTGTGTGTGTGTGTGTGTGTGTCTGACCTCTCCTCCGCACGCAGTGTGTTCTCCAGCTCTTTGGCTTTGATCTCGGCTCTAGTGACAGAATCGACCTCGACTCTGTTGTTCTGCAGTTCCTCCATCTCATTGCGCAGATCTCGCACCTGCACACATCAGCAGCGTCAGCATCTTTCATAACTACAGATATGGATATCACACACACACACACACACACCTGTCTCTCCAGGATGGCCTTATCACACTCCAGCTGCTCGTTGAGATCTTTCTCCTGGATGAGCTTCATCTGCAGTTGCTCAGACTGTGAAACACACACACACACACACACACGTTTACACACCGTTCTGTTCATCTGCTTTCCACACTGTAAACTGTTTGCGCTGCAGAATCTGATGTTCTTTCTCTAAACTTCTGTCTTGTGTTCCAGCATCTCAAACTGAAGTTACTTGCTTTAACCCTCTGATGCGATTTGGTCATTTTTGTCAGCTTGTTTAAAACTATTATAAAATGAAAGTCATAACTCTAGAGTAAATTGTGTTTTTGAAAATGTTTTCATAACAACGGACAAAATTCTGTAACTTTTTTTAAGTTCACTTTTGAAAACTTTTTTTCTCGTCAGCAATAATCTACCAAGTGTCGTCTTTATAAAGAGATCAAACTTGAGTCTGTGCTCTAAAGTATGGAAGATTGTTTCCGCTACAGAATAAAACATATAAAAAGATCATTGTGATTTTTAATCTCACAATTGTGAGTTAAGATCTCGCAATTCGGACTTTATTTCTCAGAATTGCTAGTTATAAAGTCAGAATTGTCTGAAATAAAGTCGCAATTGCGCGTTATAAAGTCAGAATTCAAAATTGAAAAACAAACAATTCTGACTTTCTCGCAATTCTGACTATATAACACATAATTGCGAGTTTATATTTAGCAATTCTGACATCTTTTCTCAGAATTGCTAAATATAAACTCGCAATTATGTGACTTATGTGATCAATCAATCCTGACTTTATATCTTGCAATTCTGACTTTATATCAATCAATCCTGACTTTATATCACACAATTCTGACTTTATATCAATCAATCCTGCCTTTTATGACGCAATTCTAACTTTATATCAATCAATCCTGACTTTATATCAATCAATTCTGACTTTATATCAATCAATCCTGACTTTATATCAATCAATCCTGACTTTATATCAATCAATTCTAACTTTATATCAATCAATCCTGACTTTATATCAATCAATTCTGACTTTATATCAATCAATCCTGACTTTATATCATGCAATTCTGACTTTATATCAATTCTGACTTTATATCACGTAATTCTAACTTTATATCAATCAATTCTGACTTTATATCAATCAATTCTGACTTTATATCAATCAATTCTGACTTTATATCACGCAATTCTGACTTTATATCAATCAATCCTGACTTTATATCAATCAATCCTGACTTTATATCAATCAATCCTGACTTTATATCAATCAATTCTGACTTTACATCAATCAATCCTGACTTCATATCACGCAATTCTGACTTTACATCAATCAATCCTGAGTTTATATCATGCAATTCTGACTTTATATCTTTCAGAGTTGTCTTTTTCTCAGAATTGTGAGGCAAAAAGTCGCAATTACCTTTTTTATTTTTCATTCTGTGGCGGAAATAAGCTTCCATACTAAAACATTCAAGATTTATCACAGTTTAAGTTGGAAATCTAATTTTCAGGTTTATGATCAAAAAGTGAATAAATGTATTATAAATACTGTGTAAATATAATTTAATACAATAAAATACCAACTAAAATATTAGATAAAAAACATTATCGGACTAAAATATTGTACATTAATTTCATTGAAAAAAACAAAAAACAAATCTGTCATTTTTGACTGACATGTAAAGAGCACCAGAGGGTAAAGTGAATTTAATGCAACTTGCTGTCAGGTGGTTTAGATATGTGTAGTGGAAAACGAGTTGTTCATCAATGTGTCGGTCACCTGATCCAGGGCTCTCTTGTGTTTGGACGCCCACCGTTGGTCGTTCTCGTGAAGCTCTTCGAGATCGGCTTCCAGATCGATGATCTTCTCCTGAAACACACACTCTCGTCAGCAGTGTGAACACACACCAGAACACATGATGCATGAACACATCTCATGTAATCTCTCAATCAGTGTTTCAACCGCAGAACCACGTCAATATGACAGCTTGTAAACAATATCTCACATTTACCTCAGAAAAAACATATTCGCTGACCATAAATTTGATAGTTAGCTAGAAAAATGAACTAGTCAAGTCTCCATTTATATAGTGCTTTTAACTATATAGATTGTTTAAAAAAAATTGTTTCTCTGACGATGTTTCCATTATATTACATTTTCATTATAATGTATAAATGTAATTATTTTAAATAAATGAATTTTAAAATAAGCGTATTAATGCATTAATATATATATATTATTTATTATATTAAATAAGAATAATGCAATATAATATATTTATTTTAAATGAATTCAATAAAAATAATAAATAAATGTATTAATACATTTAAGTAAATTGAATATATAATATAATGCAATATAATATATTTTAAATAATTAAATAATAATTATTAATTTATTCATATGTTTATGTAACATATAATTTATTATTAATACATATTTAAATATAAAGTTTATATTTTCTTTATTCTTATTTTTATATATTTATGTCTACTGTTGTCTTCATTATTAATTGCATATTTGAATAAATCATGAAAAAAGTTCAGCCAATTTTCAAATGTTTGTATAAACAACTAATCAATATATCATGAAAAAGTTGATATAAAATCTGCCTTAAAAGAACTTAATATTTTTTAGAAAACTTTTTTTGAGTTTTTATTTGAGTGCTGATTATTAAATACATTTGATCAATGAATTGATTTTTGGTTTTCAGCTGTTAGTAAATGGGTAGTAATTTCAGTTCCAGTGTTTCGTTAAAAATGTATTTTGATGCATCGCTACTGCAAATAATATGCAAATAGGCAGTTTGATGATCTTTCACAGGTTTTCACAAACACGGTTTATTAATATTCAGCAATATTATCTATTTGACTGCACTGACACTATCCGATGAAAACAACGCTGATCTGAATAATGACTCCTGTCTTTATATTTGATGAAGTTTCATCATTGATTTTCCTGTTCAACACTGTAAATCTGTATTGCCTTGACCTGAGAGTGTTGTCAGCAGTGCACACACACACACACACACACACACACACACACACCTGTGCTAGTTTGAGCTGTTTGGAGAGGTCGTCTCTGCTCTGGCCGAGCGTCTGCATCTCCATCCGCAGATCTTCCAGCGCTCGCTCTGCCTGTTTGCACTGAAGCTGCGCTCGCTCACGCAGCTGAATCTCCTCCTCTAGAGTCTGCTCCTTATAGCTCAGCTTATCTGTCACCTACAAACACACACACAGAGTCAGGACAGAGTCGAGTGCAGAGAGAACATCAACATTAGGACTGATGAGACAAGCCTAAATCTCTGATACAGACTCACTCACTCACTCACTCACTCACTCACTCACTCTTGTACATCCCTCTCTCACTAATGTGATATATATCCTTGTATATCCCTCACTTACTCACTCACTCTTGTACATCACTCACTCACTCACGTATATCACTATATCACTCACTCACTCACTCACTCACGTATATCACTCACTCTTTCCTCCAGTCTATAGTGTTACATGATCCTTTAGAAATCACTCTAATATGTTGTTTTGATGCTCAAAACAAATGTCTGATTATTATCAATGTTGAAAACAGTTGTGCTGCTGCATATTTGTGTGGAAACTGATATATATATATAATATTTTTCAGGATTCTGTGATGCATATGTGATTGTGAGAGTCTCACCTCTCCCAGCAGTAGTTCAGTAGTGTGTGTCTATGTTTCACCTCTCCCTGTAGTAGTTCAGTAGTGTGTGTGTGTGTGTGTGTGTGTGTGTGTGTGTGTGTGTGTGTGTGTGTGTGTGTGTGTGTGTGTGTGTGTGTGTGTGTGTGTGTGTGTGTGTGTGTGTGTGTGTGTGTCTCACCTCTCCCTGCAGTCTGCAGACAATCTGTGTGAGTCTCAGCAGCTCCTGGTCTTTCTCCAACACACTCTCCTCCAGCTCCTCCACTCTCAGCTCAGCGTCGGCCCGGAGCTTCTGCTGCAAACTCTGCTCTGTCCGCGCCTGAAGAGCCTCCTGAAGAGATTCTGCCAGCTGACAAACACATTATTTGATCATGACTATTTGTTCACAGTATTATTTTTTCTATGATCACAAAGCCTTGATGACAAAATTGTTTCATAGTTGGAGAGACATCTTTTCTTCTTCAGAATAATGAATATGAAGATGAAATGCAGAAAGTTAATGATCTGTTTTGTGTGTGTGTGTGGAGAGAGAGTGTTTGTGTATACATGTGTAAGGGTTTGAGAGTGTGTGTGGGGAGAGAGAGTGTGTGTGTGTGTGTGTGTGTAATATATATATATATAAAGAAAAAGAAAAGGAGAGAGAGTGTGTGTGTGTGTGTACCTCTGTCTCCAGTTTGAACACACTATTGCTGAGTTCTAGAGCTTTCTTAGACTTGTTCTCCTTCTCGAGCTCCAGCTCCTCCAGAGTGCGTTCAGTGAGCCACAGCTTCTCAGACACACACTGAGCGTGCTGCGTTTGTTTCTCCAGAGCTTCCTACACACACACACAATAAACATCATAAATGTATTTTCAATGATTTTATATAACCTTCACAAAATTCACAAATAATAGATACACATCGTTCAAAAACACTTTTCCTGATGTTTCCTCATTATATTTATTATTTCCCCTAATTTTACATTTTGCAAATTAAATTATGTTTCGGAAGAGTTTTTGAAAATTATTTTATGAAGTTTATTGGCATGACAAAAGCAATAAAACAACAGAGAGGAAAAAATAACCAATTATAATATAATATACTACTACTGATAAAAATAATAATAAAACAAATTGATATTTTTGAGAAACGTTGCCTTAGCAACTAGCTAAAATTTAAAAAAAAATATTTTAATTTGGTCCATGATTACTTTATTTGAAGAAATTAACTTCATGATGATTTTAGTTTTAGTTAACGAAAATAACCCTGCCATGATATATCATTATACACACTAGCGTTCAAAAAGAAATAATAATGATGATGATATTATAAGATCAAGTGTCAAGTTAATATCAAGTGTTTGTGTTGACTCATACACACCTCTGTGTCTTTTATTTTGTTCTTGAGTGTCTGTTGCAGAAAGTTGAAGGCGTATTCTTGAGTGTTTGCTTCCACCATCACCTCACGTGCCTCCTTCAGCTCGTTCTACACACACACACACACACACGTCAATCATCTCATCACCTGATCTCCCATTGAGATTTTAAAGTATCATGAACCAATCAGCTACGAGGAGAATCACAACATTACAAACTTGGATTTGAAATTATTTGAAAATACAAGAACATCTTCAGTGAGGGAAAGAACTACAATCCCATGATGCATTGCGAATGACACAATCAAATTAAAAATGATGGAGGAATATAAAACTACTTATAACAACTCCATTAAATCATTTGCATTCATGGGAGTGGGCGGAGCTAACAAGCTCTTGATTCAACTCTCTGATTGGTGTAATTTTCAGTACAGCATTATGGGTAATGTAGTTCTTCACCAGGAATTCCGCTGATTATTTTAAGAGTAAGTCGAAATACAGGCTAACAGGTTCAACAGAAGCAAATACCACTGATTAACAATTGTCTTTAAAGGTTTACAAGTTAGAAAGAAAATGAATTTTTCTTCTGTACCTCCATCTTTTTGAGGTGCTCCTGCATCACGTTGTTGTTGCTCTCCAACTCCACGATCCTCTCTCTCAGCCGGTTGGTCTCTCCCTGCATCTGTGTGTTGGTCCGCAGAAGATCTTCATTGTTCACCAGAAGTCCTCGCATCTCGAAGCGGATCTGACTCCTCTCCTTCTCCAGTTCGATGCTCTCCGCTTCCAGAAACTGGTTCCTCTGGAGCACATGCATCCACACACATGTTAATGGTAATTACATTTTTTGCATGAATTCTGTGGAAAAATTTGAGGATTTTGTGTGTGTGTGTTTGGCTATGGAAAGTGTGTATATGTTTGGCTATGGAGAGTGTGTGTGTGTGTGTGACACTGACCCTGCGACAGTCGTCCAGCTGATTGGTCAACTCCTGCACGAAGTCGCGCTTGTTGGGCTGGTTGTTCTGCAGCATGAGCTGACCCGGCGTGGCCTTCTGGAGGACAACAGGTCAAATACTTTTTATGTTTTACTTAGTTATAATTAAAAGCAACTACTGAGATATAGAGTGTCTGTAAAACACCAAATAATGGCTATGTTGAATAATAACTTTATATATATATATATATATATATATATATATATACACACACACACATTTAACTTAATCCAGTATATATACATAATAGTAAAATTATAAAAAATAGATGTATTTATTTGTTTTATTTAATATATATATATATATGTGTGTGTGTGTGTGTGTGTGTACAGTATGTATGTGTGTGAGCATAATGTATTAAAATAATTCTAACTGAAATAATTATGTAATTATATAATTTAAATAATAATTACACTGTGTATCTAACTATATTTTTATATATTTTTTTCCCAGCAATTTCCTTAAAAATACTTTGACATGTTTTAGGGTGTTTTTATTAATAATGCTGATTTGACAGTAAAAGGAAGCTTAATGGTTTGATGAGGAATAAACTCACGTCTCGTCTGCGCGTCAGACTGTCGTAGCCGATGCGCGAGCGCTGATTGAGCGCGGGACTCGCAACGGGACTCCGGTTCAAACCAAAGAGGTTCACCTCAGAGACGCCAGGTGACATCACTTCCTGTGTCTGATTCAAACACAACAGTCATTAGTCCTGCAGGGTGGCAAATTAAGTTTTATCTCGTGTAGTCTGGATTAATATGAAGTCACAAAGGCTATATAATTATAAAAGAAGTGGATAATCATTGTTGAAGACAGTATTTATGCAACACTTTAGGTGTTCCTACTAGGGATGCAACGGTACACGGTAAAATCCCGGACCGTTCGGTCAGCCCTGCACGGGACAATCTAACCTCGTGTCCCGCGGGACTTCGGTTCTGCCAAGACTGCCATAGAGTTCGTGCTGATCCTTTTACCGTATTTTCCGCACTATAAAAGGCGCACTTAAAAGCCTTTAATCTTCTCAAAAGACGACAGTATTGTGCCTTATAATCGGGAGCGCCTTACTATATGGATCAATTAGTTAACAACGCTCCACATTATTAAATTCGCCCGCGAACTCGCGCCCGCTTTGTTTGTCACACGGCCAGTTCAACCACGTATAAATCAGGTAATGTGTGTGTGTCGATCACGAGCGCTCACTCTAACAGACACACGAACAGACCGGCGCTGCTCGCGCGTCATAGACGTTCATAAAGCGCTCCCCGTTCACACGGGTCATCTCATTCAAAACAACCCACTGTTGTTAGCGAGCCGCCGCACATTGAATACTCATATGAGTCAGGCTGCGAATGTAAGTTACGTGCCCGCCCCAGCGCGCTCACGCTTACTAAATAAACGCCTCACCTCGGCTCCACGTAGCCTACTCTCTACATTCCCAGCACAGATGCATAACGCAAACCCAGTCAAACGTTTGACTGCAGTATATTTTTGCACAAGAATCTCTCAAAAGTGGATGAGTAAATAACATTGTACTTTGTATCCTGAATGCAGTATTTTTTTTTAAATTATATTATTTTGCTCTGCTCTTTTTATTCAAACCACAAGCTAAGTTATGTTAAAGGTAAAAGTGCACTTTTTCTTTCACATTGATCACTTCATTTACCAGTTATCAAGGTTTGGATTTGGGATCCACTTGAATATTTTAAAGTTTCCTTGTTTACATTTTGTATTTCATAAGTGGTAGTTGAAGAGGTTCAGTACAGACTAGAGTGTTAATTTATTCCATACACATTGATGTTATTACTGTGACATTCTGTTTATGCTCATAAGAAAAATAAAACATATTTTTGGGATGAAATAGCAGTCTCTTTCTGCACAAAACATGTACCGAAACCGAACCGAGACCGTGGCCCAAAAACCGAGGTACGGACCGTACCGTGGGCTATCTGTACCGTTGCATCCCTAGTTCCTACACACATGGATGGAGCTGAAGTACATGTTCTGTCCACTCATACATAAACACAGGATGTGACTTATTTACCTTAAAATCTGCCATTCTGTTGGTGGGATAGTCCAACGACAGCGTTGCATATGGACTGTTGAAAACTCTGGAAGGACTGTCAAAGCTGCCCATCTGGAAGAACACAGAAGCAATACTGTAAACAGCTACTGTAAACGCCTACTGTGAACTCAGCTACTGTGAACGTGCCAACTGCAAACGCCTACTGTAAACTCGGCTACTGTGAACTCAGCTACTGTGAACGCGCCAACTGCAAACGCCTACTGTAAACACCTACTGTACACTCAGCTACTGTGAACTCGTCTACTGTAAACACCTACTGTAGGCCACCTACTGTAAACGCCTATTGTAGGCAGCCTACTGTAAACATCTACTGTAAACGCCTACTGTGAACTCGGCTACTGTGAACTCGGCTACTGTGAACTCGGCTACTGTAAACTCGCCTACTGTAAACACCTACTGTAAACGCCTACTGTAGAAGCCTACTGTAAACGTCAACTGTAAACGCCTACTGTGAATTCGGCTACTGTGAACGCGCCAACTGCAAACGCCTACTGTAAACTCTGCTACTGTGAACTCTACTACTGTGAACTCGGCTACAGTGAACATGCCTAAGGCAAAAACCTACTCTAAATGCCTACTGTGAACGCGCCTACTGTAAATGCGGCTACTGTAAACGTGGTTACTGTAAACAACATTATCGTTTAAAGCAACACAATCAGTATCAAGTAAAGCATCATGTCGCTTTTTAAATGGACGACATAATTCGCATCATAAAAAGAAATTATTTCCTATAATAGATGACAAAATAGGTCAAAATGAAACAAATATGCTCCTTTTAAAATTAACATGTTATATTAAAACTATGCTGGCAGGGCAAACACATCACACAGCAAAAAAAAAAGATCTGTAATATATATTTTTTATAACAGTTATTTTATATTTTTCGAACAAATTTGTAATTTTATATATATATATATATATATATTATTTAAATTATTATTTATTATTAATATTCATAGCAAAGTATTAAATCATTGTTAATATTATCATTTTAACATTTCTGGAAGAAACGAGATTCATTGAGGTTTTAGTTATTTTAATTAATTAATTAATTAATATCTAGAATTTTTGTTTTATTTACATAATTTCTATTTTTACATTTTATTTCTATATTTAAGCGGACACTCACCCTGTCGGACATGCTGTCCCAGTCCCGGGACGACAGCGACTCCATGGACCCACGCATGGCTGAGCTGATCCTCCTGAGGTTCCCGTTGGTCCCGCTGGAGCCGCTTGAGCTCACGGAGCCGTTGGCCCCCAGGAACAGCTGGTACCTGGGGTTGGCCCGGGCTTTAGAGGTGGAGGGGTCGTCATCAGAGCGAAGACTGCCGTGCTGCTTCTCACCGTTGCAGATCTGGGTGAGAGAGAAAGAGAGTGAGTGACAGAGTGTTGGGGTTCCAGGAGCTTCAATCAAGCCAAGATCAGACGCATGGTGTGTAGTTACAAATTCAATTTAATAATTAAATTTAAAAATAAAGTAAAATAAAGTAAAAAAATAAATATTTAAATATTAAAAAAAAACAATAATAATATTTTTATAAAATCTAAAATAATCTAAATAAAAAAGGTAATATAAAAATAAAAACGATTCGTAAAACCTATAATCATTTTTCAATTCCACTCGAACAGCACTGCTCATGTGCAGACAAAACGCCCTGAAACATCGAGAAAAGTGTGTTGCATTGATTAGTATCAGAGTTGATTGATGAAGCGTGCAGCTGGAAATCAAACGGATGATTGACAGATTGATGTGAGGCGAGCGAGGATGATTCGCAGTGAAGCAGAGCGACTGACGACTGCGAGCGATCGGATCCGATCCCGGACTTACCGGACCGGGAACAAGAGCATCCGGACTGTCTGTCCTGTGCTTTTGCTCTTTAGTGTCGTGTTTATCATCTTTAGCGTTGTGTTGGTCATCTTTAGCGTTACGTTTGTCATCTTTAGCATGTTTCGTCCGATCTTCCTCCTTCCTCTTCTCTGGGGCGTGACGTCTCTGATCTGAGGATTCTTGTAATTTGGGATCTGGCATTTCTCCGGATGAAACCGGATTCTGGTTCTTCCCTCTTTCTTTGCTTTCACATCTCATTTCCCCGGTATCCCGTCCGCTCACACCTAGACCTTTGACCTTCAGCGACCCGAGAGCGCGTTTGGGCAGTGTGTGTGACCCATCGAACCTGTAAATGAGATCCTTAACGCTTCCAGATCGTGTCAGATTGGATCCGGAGTGAAACGCCGTCTTCTTATTGGCCGCCCAGTTCCAGTCCTCGTCCTCCAGCGTGACACTCTTCCCTTTACACGCTCGATTCGGAGCGTTTGTGTTGTGTTTAGAGACATCGTTCCTCTCTGTTCCCTGAGAAACACACACACACTCGATTGCATCTGCTGTTCTGAAGAAACATTCCCACTCGAGTTTTGCAACCGTTATATTCCCGAAGGAAAACGCATGAATCGCCCATCTAATGGCAATCGTGTCCGTATTACGACAGAACAGAACTGTGTGTTTGAGTTACGAAACACACACTTTCACCCAGACAGAAAACTGAACAAACATGCATCCCTCAAATGAATCATTTCATTTTGCCCATAATTCTGAGTATGTAAATACCACAATTTTTGAGATTCAATTTCCTTGATACATTGTTATTATTATACATGATTAGCAGTGCACTGTTTGTGTTCACATGTAAATATGAGCATAGAGATCAATTTATTCAACATTTCACATTCTAGATTCATACTTCAAGGGGTTGTGGGAAATATTACACCACAAATCATGCATGCATAATTTATCATTTTACATAAATATTACATTAAAATTATATAATTTGTTTTTAAATTCAATACATATAACTTATAACATAAAACTAATTTTACATACAGTAAATATAGATACTTAATAAATATATAATTATATACATGTTAAAATGACCAGTATACATATACACACACACACACACCCACACATATATATATATATATATATATATACATACACACACACACACACACATATATATATATATATATATATATACACACACACACACATATATATTTATATATATATATATATATATATATATATATATATATATATGTATGTACAGTATGCATGTATGTATGTAAACTGGTCATTTTAACATGTATATAATTATACATATTTTTAAGTATCTATATTTACTGTATGTAAAATTAGTTTTATGTTCTAAGTTATATGTATTGAATTGAAAAAACAAATTGTATAATTTTAATGTAATTTTAATGTATATATATATATATATATATATATATATATATATACAGTATATAATTTTTAGAATGTATTTTTTATTTAAATTATAAAATAGCATCTATGAGCCAAGCATTGCATTACTTGTGTGTGTGTGTGTGTGATTCTGTAAAGATTCAGTGGTGTTTGAATCAGACACGCTCATGTGAACAGTGGGTTCACGTGCCACTGGTCCGGACAAATGTAATTGCGCTTTGACATGTTACTCTGAGCTTTAGAGGATCAGGGAAAACGAGAGGCGATAAATCAGATTATATAAGCTCTGATTCTCATAGCGGCTCTTTTACAATCCCGTTCTTAACCCTGTAAATCCCACTGCATCAAAGTTACAGAGACAGGCCTCTAATGATCCACACCTGGCTATTACCAGCTCTCAATCGTCACTTTATTCCAAAATCACTGCAATATATGTTTTAAAACCACAGAGCTTTGGTCCTAAAACTAAGCATTAATTATTATCTTACCAACACATACTATTGGCAGATTGATATTTACATGACAAGTATCTGCTATGCTATTATAAAGATCTCATTGATTTACATTACAAGCATTAAAAATATCATCTTACTTTTTTGTCATATAAAATCGAGCTGTTTATTGAGCTTGTGTATAAAATATGATGCACAACAAAAAACACTTTAATTAAAATCTTTCCCCCCGAGTATTATCTCATATATCAGGTTTTAAAGGGTTAAAATAATAAAATCCCAAACAGCCGGTCATCTGTAAACACACGACACAGAATCTCAGATAAACATGTGCTCAGAATACTGGAATTACCACCATCACGCAATATTTCACGTAATTAAAGTGTAATTATGTAAATGAGGGTCCTGTGGGTGATTTTAAGGCCTAATCCAGGGACTCGCCTAACGCTCTCCCCCAGGGACGCTGCACTGATCTCTGGGTAACGGGCCGAGCGGATCCCGGGTCAGCGACGACGCCAATCACTCAGTGTTTAGGAGCTCGCGGAGGATTATCGCTTAATCTACGATTTAATGTGATTAATTTCCACCAAATACGATTTCATTCGCCAGGACGTCCCCCGAGACGAGGCTGCGTCTGTGTTTCGGAGCAGTAAATTGAAATAAATGACATCATATAAGCCTGTGACAGTCTGGCATTTATGAATATGACAGAGATGATTAACGTTATGAAGATGCGACAGCGACACGTTGCTGAAATAAACTCCCTAAAATCCGCCGATCCTGTTGCTGTGATGGAGGCGGGGTTTAGTATGCAAATGAGCTCAGAGGTTGACCGGCTGTCCGTCGTCCTTCACATCAGCCTCATTCTCATACACACACAGACACACACTTTTTTCAGAATAAAAAAAATCTGATTAATCCTATTTTACAAATATACCTACTAATCATGTGTTAATTATTTCAAAAGAGAAAAAACAGGTATATGAGATATGATATTACCCTAATGATAGGGGAATGTTTAGTTGTCATGAAAATACAATAAAAAACATAATTGTCCAACAATAGGCTTTTCCTTTATGTGTGTGTGTGTGTGTGTTTTTCCCTCAGGGTCTGGTGGAGTAACATATGGTGCTGGATTGAGGATGCGCTCTGACCCAGTTTACGGTGATCCTGCGCTCAAATTCACACTCACTGCGTCTGTGCTCTTCAATTCACACGATAAAACTGCATTTCTACATTAATATGAAAATATGAGACGAGAAAATCATGGATGATCGCCAGAATGTGGTCGCTAGTAGTTTCAGGATCTATTTTACGTTGCTAGGGTGTTGTGGGCGGTTGCAATGTGGTTATAAAGAGTTTGGGTTTAATGGATTATAAAAGTGTTCATATTGTACATTATAATGCAATATGAATAATTGCAACTCAAGTTAAAATGCATTATAATATTTGCAGATTTCTCGTTACTTCCGAAATCGTTTCTCATGTGTTTTAATGCTTGTGTTTTAAAGGTGTAACAATGAATAGATAAGTATAATAGTGGTTACAATTATTCATGACATCATCCAATGTATTAAAATAATGCATTATATATGCAGGCTGCAAGTAAAGTGTGTTTAGTTTCTAACACAAACTAAAAGTTTGCACAAACCAACCAGCACAATTTTTTTTTTAAATCAAGATACATTTACTTGAGAAAAAAAGTAACTGTATGAAAACGAAGTGAGTTTATGCTTAAAACAAGAACAAATATCTGCCAATAAGGTCAGAAAAATAAACTTCATTCAAAGGGAAACAATATAATTAGTCTAGCTCACATCACAGTATGTATATATAAGCAAATAAGACTATATATGTGAATATCCCTTCAGTATTATCAGCAGCTATCGCGTTTCTCAGGAGCTGATTTCACTTTTCTAACTTTAGCTAGTGTGTAATGTTGCTGTTTGAGCATAAACAACATCTGCAAAGTTACGACGCTCAAAGTTCAAAACAAAGGGAGATATCTGCTTTTAAAGAAATCGTTTTTAAGGACTACAACAAACAGCTGGTAGAACTACACAAGCTTCCTCCCGGGTTAGTGACATCAATAACCCCAGAATTTACATAAACCCCACCCCTGGGAATGCGATTTATAGATTATCATGACAGAATATGATGGCAAACTGACATTGAATCAACATAGAAACGACGTTTCTCATGACATCGAAACAACGTTGATCTGACATTGTTTTGCACATCGAATTGACGTTAAACCATCGTCAGACGCGCCATTATTCAAAACTAACGGAAAATCGACGCAGTTAGTTGCTTTCCTAACGTCCCAGATAGCAAACTGACATTGAATCAACGTAGAAACGACGTTTTTCATGACATCGAAACAACGTTGATTGTTTTGCTCATCGAATTGCCGTCGAACTAACGTCAGACGCGCCATTATTCAAAACTAACGGAAAATCGACGCAGTTAGTTGCTTTCCTAACGTCCCAGATAGCAAACTGACATTGAATCAACGTAGAAACGACGTTTTTCATGACATCGAAACAACGTTGATTGTTTTGCTCATCGAATTGCCGTCGAACTAACGTCAGACGCGCCATTATTCAAAACTAACGGAAAATCGACGCAGTTAGTTGCTTTCCTAACGTCCCAGATAGCAAACTGACACTGAATCAACGTAGAAACGACGTTTTTCATGACATCGAAACAACGTTGATTGTTTTGCTCATTGAATTGCCGTTGAACTAACGTCAGACGCACCATTATTCAAAACTAACGGAAAATCGGCGGAGTTAATTTCTTTCCTAACGTTGAAACGATGTTGATTTCAAGTTGATTTTCTGTTAGTTTTGAAGAATGGCGCGTCTGACGTTGGTTCAATGTTAATTCGATGAGCAAAACAATGTCAGATCAACGTTGTTTCAATGAAATGTTTCCACGTTGATTCAAAGTCAGTTTGCTATCTGGGCATTGACTAGAAGATTGTCACTTCTTGAGTCTCTCCATCTTTCAGACTCTGGTTTGGACATAAAAGGCTAAAAGTTTTTTCTGTTCAGTGTGTGTGTGTGTGTGTGAGGCAATCAAAGCTGCTAAGGAAGGACACAAGCTGTTGAAGCTCCGCCCACTGGGAGCAACAGCTCATTTGCATTTAAAGGGACAGGCACAAAAATTGAGTGTTTTTGCTCACCCTCAAAAAGTGACTTTAACTTGCTGTATAAAAATATCTGTGGGGTATTTTCAGCTAAAACACACTCTGGGGACATCAGAGATTTATTACATCTTGTGAAAACGGCATTATACCACCCCTTTAATGATATTTGCAATATATTCATGTTGTTTCTGTTCTGTTACCCTAAGGCGGTTATTGCTGCTCTTATTCATGAATGGCTCCCCAGAACGGGACCACACCGCCATCCGCACGATATGCTAATTGTCATTGGATCTTTGACGACGGTGGTCCTGACAGAAAAGCATACGGTTTATCAAATCTAATTCATCTTCAGTGAAACCCACTGATTTCGTCCAACATCAAAAGGCAACGTCAAAAACTCTGGAGAAAAGAACGAAACAACAGAATGTGAGCAAAAGCCCTCAATGACAACACATGGTGAACGAGACGTGACGGAGGAGAGGAGTGTGTGTGAGTGTGTGTGAAGCTCCAGGTGAGCGGACAGATGCTCCGTCAGATCCAGCGCTCAACATCAGCAACATCTGGAGCCGTTTAAACAAATACATATCAAAAGACACACACACACACACAGACAGTCTCTCTCTTACACATACACACACATACACACATTCAAATAAAAATGTATTGAAAAGTGTTACCCGTCTTTTTAATGTTCAATATTCAAATGCATTTCTTGTTATGTAAATGCATCTTATTTTAAGCAGTATTTAGCTAAAACTGACAAAATATTTGTAATTAGGAAACTTTTAGAGTTACTGAATGGTGATGATGTCACTTCCTGTAGACCTTCTGTTTCCAGTTTGTTTAGTCAATAAACATTCTTAAAAGAAGTTGTTTGAATTCATCTCTCGTTCACATCAGATTGCGAGTGCAGTTGTGATCTGTGGATATTCATCCGTGTTGTTGAGGGGTGTGTGTGTGTGTGTGTTTACCGTGCTGGATTCCTGTGCACTCATTCCTGGCATCCCGTTGGTCAGTTTGTCACTCAGTTGGTTCAGTTTCTCCAGACGTCCTGCTCCCGTAAACACAGTCCTTACAAGCTGGAGGTGTTTCCCACGATGCACTGCAGCAGATCTGGAGATACACAGCTAAAACACAAGGAAAGAGAAGAAAATAAACGCATGAACCTCAGGACGCCACGTCTGAAACCAACAATTAAAACAATACTAGCATGACAATTCACTGAAAGCTCAGACACTTTATACACTGAACACCCATACTACAACTAATAATAATCATGTCTGCAGAATTATTACTGAAAAGATGCAGTGTGTGTTCTCCACTAGAGGGAGACATGCACACACTCCAGTGGGGTAAAGCACTAGTTTCAAAGCACAAGAACGGATCATATTCAAAGTATACTGTTCAGATGAAACTCGAAAGATTTGAATATATTGCTGGTAGCGTCGGATTGAGGCTGTAGTTCATGCAAAAGGCCCAAACCAAGGACTGAGTACATATGCATGATTATTCGTCTCAGAGGGCCAACATTTCTGTATTCAAAATCCTTTTTTTTTTTATTGATTTCATGAAATACTCTAATTTGGAATTTGGCGTTTTCATAAGCTGTGAGCCATAATCATCACATTTATAACAAATAAAGGCTTGGAATAGCTCACTTTGCATGTAATGAGTCTATATAATATATTAGTTTCACCTTTTAAGTTGAATTATTGAAATAAATGATATTTGCACTAGTTTTACCTGTGGTGTACAAGAGGGAAACATCACTTCTGAAACTCTAAAAACACACCAGATGATCGAAATAAACAAAACCATGATCAAATGATCAATTAATATAGGTCAGTGATCAATAAGATGCATTGTTATTTCACATTATCATTGATTCTTAATGTTGAAGAAACAAAGATAATAAGAAAGTATGCATCTTCAAAATCAAAGCATATTTATCTGACAGAATTATTTGGCAAAAAAGGCAAACTACAGCTACAGTTTTTCGCACGTGTTGATCATTTCTTTGAATAAACACATGGACAAAATTATACCATGTTTTATTGCGTTATTAAGGTATATAAAATAATGCATTTTAAATTAAACTATGAATACTAATAAGAATGATCAGTTAAAATGTACAGAGTAAAACAGTTTTGCTTTCAGACTGAGCTTTGATATTCCATAAAACTAAGTGATGTCTGGACGGGATATTTGTATTTAATGACCCTATAAATTTGATTAAACATCCAATACACACACACTATATATATATATATATATATATATATATATATATATATATTAATATGGGAAACAGCAAAACTGTAAACTTGGTTAAGGTATGTTATCTAACAGAAATTATGTTGACTACAGCTACAAAAGATAGAACATAATCAGTTATTAATATTTTATTGGATCTCTTTTGTTTTTGCATATGTTCATAATTCCATTGTATTTCAGGACATGGACAAAAATTGTCATGTTTCATTGTGTTTTTAATCACAAATAAAACAGTCGACTCCATGCACAACTACGCAACATGCTTACAAACTCTTTGACTAATGTTTGACGTTCTGTCACATAGCGGCGGCGATGTAATGGGGGCCTGAGCCGACGAGCATCTGTTAATGCAGCGCATCTGAACCCTCTTTAACCTTTTGTTTACAGTGCGTTTGGAAATGCGGTCCGGACGACCCCGCCGGGATCCCACGGCCCTCACCGCCAGCTGTCGGCTCGCAAACACACACACACACCATATACACACACCATCAGCCGCCAGCGCTCAGACGGACACGCTATAGATGCAACGACCGCATGGAAAAACAGAATTCAGACACCTGGGAAAAGTGATTTTACCACAAACAACTGGTGCTTTTATGCACAAGCCGAACAGATCAGGTCTTATAGCATCACCTTACTATTTTTTTTTTTAATATATTAATAAGGTCAATATTGTATAATCTATCTCAATCCCATATTTGATAAATATGAATGTGATGTAGCCGTGTTGATGAGTCCAGGGAAAGTCATCTGAAGGAAACCCAGCGCCCAGAGACACGAGACGAGAGGTCAGACCTCAGCAAATAAACCTCAGAGAGCCAAGACTTATACAGGGCCAAGAGACGCCCACAGGGAGCAGCAGAAGGTCACACACACACATGCACACCACAACTTTGTTTTGCCCTCATAAGGAACACTGGGAGCATTTCAATTTCCCTTACTAAGGTGTTCTGAGTATTTTAGGTTGTTGCTATGGAATTGCTAGGGTGTTTTCGAAAGTTTTAGGCTGTTGCTATGCAGTCACTAAGGTGTCCTGAGTGTTTTAGGTTGTTGCTATGGAGTTGTAAGGATGTTTTTCGAAGGTTTTAGGCTGTTGCTTTGCTGTTACTAGGGTGTTTTGAGTGTTTTAGGCTGTTGCTATGCAGTTGCTAGGGTGTTCTGAGTGTTTTAGGCTGTTGCTATGCAGTTGCTAGAGTGTTCTACATGTGTTTTAGGCTGTTGCTGTGCAGTTGCTATAGTGTTTTAGTCTGTTATTATGCAGTTACTAGGGTGTTCTGAGTGTTTAGGCTGTTGCTATGCAGTTGCTAAGGTGTTATGAGTGTTTTGAGTGGTTGTTATGTAGTTACTAGGGTGTTCTAAATGTTTTAGGCTGTTGCTGTGCAGTTGCTAGGCTGTTATGGGTGTTTTAAGCTGTTGCTATGCAGTTGCTAGAGTGTTCTAAATGTGTTGTAGGCTGTTGCTGTGCTGTTTCTATAGGGTTTTAGTCTGTTGCTATTGCTATGCAGTTAGTAGGGTGTTCTGAATGTTTTACTCTGTTGCTACGCAGTTGCTAAGGTGTTATGAGTGTTTTAGGCTGTTGTTATGCATTAACTAGGGTGTTCTGAGTGTTTTAGGCTGTTGCAGTGCAGTTGCTAAAGTGTTTGTTCCGAGTGTTTAGGCTGTTGCTATGTGTTCTGAGTGTTTTAGGCTGTTGCTGTGCAGTTGCTAGAGTGTTCTGAGTGTTTTAGGCTGTTGCTGTGCAGTTGCTAGAGTGTTTTGAGTGTTTAGGCTGCTGCTGTGCAGTTGCTATGATGTTTTGAGTGTTTTATGCAGTTGTAATGCAGTTGCTAATATGTTCTGAGTGTTTTAGGTTGTTGCTGTGCAGTTGCTAGAATGTTCTGAGTGTTTAGGCTGTTGCTGTGCAGTTACTATGGTGTTTTGAGTGTTTTAGGCTGTTGTAATGCAGTTGCTAATGTGTTCTGAGTGTTTTAGGCTGTTGCTGTTGCTGTGCTAGAGTGTTCTGAGTGTTTGGGCTGTTGCTGTGCAGTTGCTATGGTGTTCTGAGTGTTTTAGGATGTTGTTGTGCAGTTGCTAATGTGTTCTGAGTGTTTTAGGCTGTTGCTGTACAGTTGCTAGAGTGTTCTGAGTGTTTAGGCTGTTGCTGTGCAGTTGCTATGGTGTTTTGAGTGTTTTAGGCTGCTGCTGTGCAGTTGCTAATGTGTTCTGAGTGTTTGGGCTGTTGCTGTGCAGTTGCTATGGTGTTCTGAGTGTTTTAGGATGTTGTTGTGCAGTTGCTAATGTATTCTGAGTGTTTTAGGCTGTTGCTGTACAGTTGCTATAGTGTTTTGAGTGTTTAGGCTGTTGCTGTGCAGTTGCTATGGTGTTTTGAGTGTTTTAGGCTGTTGCTGTGCAGTTGCTATGGTGTTCTGAGTGTTTTAGGATGTTGCTGTGCAGTTGCTAGAGTGTTTTGAGTGTTTCAGGATGTTGCTGTGCAGTTGCTATGGTGTTTTGAGTGTTTTAGGCTGTTGTAATGCAGTTGCTAATAACTTCTGAGTGTTTTAGGCTGTTGCTGTGCAGTTGCTATGGTGTTCTGAGTGTTTTAGGATGTTGCTGTGTAGTTGCTAGAGTGTTCTGAGTGTTTAGGCTGTTGCTGTGCAGTTGCTATGGTGTTCTGAGTGTTCCAGGCTGTTGTTATGTAGTTATTAGGATGTTTGAGTGTTTTAGGCTGTTGGGGTTAACACTCCAGCGGTTCCCATCACACCACTATAATAAGCACCAGCACTAATGATGACTGACTCACTGACTGCACTACCACTGTGAAATCAAACCAAACGCTGAGTTCCTCTCAACCAATCAGAGTCTGCGTGAGCGACAGATGAGGCTGGATAATGAGGAACAGGTGCGAACGAATCGGCCCTTTCCAAACACATCCCTGTTAATTTATGAGCTGAGATCTGCCCATCGTTTCTTTCCAGGACGCAAAAAAAACAAAAAAAAACCCCAGAAAACTTCAGGAACACAGACAAACAAACGCTGATGAAGAAGTTAAAAACGGCACACGAATAAAGGCCTGCAAAACCAGACCAACTCCATTCTATTAATTATGAAAACATGAATGATTTATTAATAAGAGCAACTGACAGAAGCATCACGGGAAACACGGACAGTTGAACCGCTGAAATGTGTCAAATGCATCGAGTTTGGTTTATTGTTGCTCGTTTAATGGTTTAGTTTCTAATTGAATGAAAGGATTGAAGATACAAAGAGATGTTTCAGTTCAGATTAAAGCTCTTTGTCATCAGATAATGTCATCATGTGGGATTACATGGACTCTGGTTGTTATTCTTCCGAGGAAATTGAGCGATTCTGATATGAATTTCCCAAGACAAGTGACAACTTGAGTCGGGTCTGAACGACAGACCAGGTTCATTTTGCTTTCGAATGCAAGTTGATGCAATTAAATCATTACGTGTGAACAAAAGAACCCGACGTTACAAAGGAGAGGTTTCCTGGCAGGAGGAGGGAACGTCAAGACGTGCTGCGACTCGATCCCGATGATCCCTGATGAGAAAGGTGAGGCGAGGACGGGATTTACCGACACACGCTCTGATGTCACACACAGAACAAGAACAAAGACAGAGCAGCCATAACAGGGTTAATATGCAAATCAGCTCCAGATGAAGAGTTAATTCAGCAGAACAGCTGCTGGAGTGAGGGATTACAGAGGAGCGAGAGACATTCTGAAAGACAGGAACGCAGAAATATATATATATATATATATATATATATGAAGAGTTCAGATGCAAAAGCCTCTAAATGCCATTTGAAATTTTCTTCTTTAATGATGATTTTTGTCAAACTTGTATATTCAAGTTCAGTAATTTCACTTAAATAACAATTAATAGGTAATTATCATTGCCATTTAAGTGAAATCACTGAATTTAAATATACAAGTTTGATAAAAATCATCATTAAAGAAGAAAATTTTAAATGGCACTTAGAGGCTTTTGCATCTGAACTCTTCATATATATATAGAATTCGTGTCTATATATATATATATATATATATATATATACATATACATATATATACAAAAAAACAAAACAAATGAAAGATAGACAAAGAAAAAATAACCAAAAAATAGAAAAACAAAAACAAAACAAAGACCGAAAAATAAAGAAAAAAAACAAACAAATAAGTAAATAGAACAAAAGAAACTAAATTTAAAAACTACAAAACAAATAAATAGGCAAATATAGAAATAAACAAATAAATAAAGAATACATTTAAAAAGAATAAAAGAAAGATAAAAATATTAGAAATAAATAAATATAAATAAATGTAAAAATGTAATAAGGAAAAAGCATAAGTAAGAAAGAAGTAGCACACGATGTGCGTTTACACCGAGATAAGAACACACACACACACACACACACACACACACACACACACACAGACATACATACAAATGATGGCTAGTTGCACTGCAGCAAAGCATGCTGGGATCTGTCTGATTTGTCACTTAACTGGACAGACTCATGATGTAATATTTAATATCCGTCTCTGCAAATTATGCTAATTAGATCTAATATGTTGTTTAAGGTAGGTCCTGTGTGAGTCTGAGTGTGTGTGAGTAAGTGAGTGAACATTTTAACATTACATAACTCTAAACAAGAAATTCCTTCATGCACATTCCAATAGTCACGAAACTGATGTATATTTGAATAAATATTCATATTTAATGTAAATTACATAAACAAGTGCTCTGTCATGCATGTCAGAATAAGGCGTATTAATGAAAGACTCACATGGTGTTTTTCTGCTGTTACTCTTCAGTTTCTCAAAGTCTCTCTGTCTTCGGCAAAACACTGTTGACAAACACACACACAATCATATAAAAGATGATTTTAAACAGATTACATGTCACTATAATGCACACACACACACACACACACACACACGCAAACACAGCACTGCTGGGAGATTTTCAGCCCCAGATGGGAGAAAACACAGACAGAAGACTTCAATCTGTCTGATCTGCTGCTACAATCACAACACATCTCACACGTGTGTGTGTGTGTGTGTGTGTGTGTCCTGCCTCCATTTTAAAGCTCAAATTATGCTCTTTTACAAAGTCTTGATTGTGTTTTAGTCTCCACTAGAACAGGTTTTCCCGCTTGAATGTTGATTATTTTCCTCATATTCTCCATTGTTGCGGCTCCTCTCTTCCCAGTCTGTCAGTAACGCTCTGTTTACTTCCTGTCTCTATGAAGCCCCTCCATCTGAAAATCACACTGTGCTCTGATTGGTCGGCTGGATCAGTGTGCTGTGATTGGTCGAGCGCTTCGAGCGTGTTTGGGAAATGCCCCGCCCCTTACAATAACCACCAGTTTAACGCACTACTACCTCAACCAGGCCCCGCCCCTTTATTCTGCGTGTGAATTATTATAACGATGAATATTGTGACGTGTTCGTTCTCAGAGGAAACTCGAGACTACAATGGAGGCATTTCAGGAGTTCAGAAACACTGACTCTGATATAGAGGAGAACTGCAACATTACACACACTAAAGAAACATGAACGTGAAAAAGCACGTCTCTAACATGCATTTCATCCTCTGATTGACACACAGACGTGTTTGAGAGAGCAGAGACCAGCGCTAATCATTAACACACACCGTTTTAAAGTCTTGCTGCACGTTAATCATTTCAGTGTGTAAATGACTTTGACATTTGCAACAAACACCTAAAATTCATCATCAGGAAAAACTGAATAAGTGTGGAAACTCAGACTGGAATATTAATATATCACTTTTTAACATGCCATACTACTATTTCTGAAGCGTGTGTGTGTGTGTGTGTGTGTGTGAGAACAGCACATGATATTCAACATCTGATAAATATAAACTGGTACCGATATGCAGAACGTTCAGCATCACTCCTCCAGTCTTCAGTGTCACATGATCCTTCCCAAATCACTCTAATATGATGATCTGATGCTCATAAACATTTAGGATTATTATCAGTGTTGAAAACTATTCATATTTTTGTGGAAACCGTGATTAAATTGATCAAAAGTTACAGTAAAGACATTTAAAATGTTAGAAAAGATTATATTTCAAATAAATGCTGTTCTTTCGAACTTTCTATTCATCAAAGTATCTTGAAAAAGAAACTGCATCATATTTTCCACAAAAACTTAGTTTTCAACTATTAGAGTGATTTGTGAAGGATCATGTGACACTGAAGAATGATGCTGAAAATTCAGCTTTTAACACAGGAATAAATTACACTTTACTATATATTCACATAGAAAACAGATGATTTACATTCTAATAATATTTCACTGTTTTATGAATTTTTGATGAAGCCCTGGTGAGAGGACGAGACTCGTTCACGAGCGTTTAAAACATCTTGATTCCTGAACCCGGCGCGACATCATCAGTGATGCTTCTTGACTCATTTTTACTCTCGAATTAAACTGGATTAAAAGAGCGAATCGACCACATGTATTTAGCAGGAGTCTCAGCAGAGACAGACACGCCGCGGCCGATCCCAGTGCACTGTGGGAAACGCTGACATCATCAGCATGTCTCTGGGAAATAAGAGTTACGAAAAACATTCTTGAACAGAAATGAAATCCACAGTAATCCAACATAACTCACAGCGAGCAACACACACTGCAGGAGATCCATGGGCGAGTGTGTACACAAAGTGTACACAGTTAATACAGAACATCCAGAAGAATAATGAGAGTCAGAGAACTGTAGTGCTTCAGTGTACGTGTGTGTGTGTGTGTGTAAATGAAAGAGTGCGTGTGTGTTTTTTATGAAGTATAACCAGAATACAGTCATAAAGCAGAATTCACTGTATGTGTGTGTGAACCAGAACACGGATTAATTTGGTATAGAAAGAATATTCACTCAGATGCTGATAGCAAATTTCACAGTTACAAATAAATGGTGGAATTTTGAAGTAAAAAAACCCGTAAAAGACTTTTTTACGATTTAAAAAGAGCGTTTATTTTTAGCGCTTTACAGGACGGAGATGTTTCACTCAAACAGAAATCAGGATCAAGGTCACATTCCTGAACGATCACAGACCATTAACACACACACACACACTGACCGACGGATGCTCTCAGACACTGTCATTGTTCATTTACAACCACATAAAACTCTCTATGTGTTTGTGTGTGTTAAATTGTTACAGCAACGCATCTGCACATTTTGCATATACTCTTACACACACACCATCCTGCACCATTCAGATTTGAGCCCTAAAAATAGGTTTCATATTCTTTACTGTATTTTGTGAGGAATGAAATTCAAGCTGAAATCTGAGAAACTATAAGGTTACACACACACACACACACACACACACTGTGTGTCCTGAAGCGTGTGTTGCAACTAATGAAAACATGTGTACAAAGTTCTGTGTGACGGTGTTTTGTGGCATGTGGGTGAAAGGCATGCTGGGAACAGGGTGTGTGTGGGTGGGGCGGTAAACCTTCTCCTGCAGCAGTGTGTGTATGTGTGTGTGTGTGTGTGTGTGTCTGGGTGGGGTTGTTTTAAATATCTCTCAGTAAAGTTAAGAGGTGAAGGACTCATGGTTACAAAACACACACCGCTTCTGTCGAGTCCACACACACACACACACACACAGTTCCTCGAAGAGCTGGAGGCGAACGATAATCAGCAATCCCAGCATCAGGTCAAACTGGATTATGAGGAAAAAGAAGCTATTATTAAACTATACAGAAAATATTATCACTGATTAATAACCAACTGTCCTTCTGTACGGTCATGTGATTTATATCTATATTTATATCTGGCCTTTTGTAACCATGATCTCAATTTGACAAAACGATCAATAAATAATAATAAATATATTTTGATTAATATTATTATTAACTATATATATAACTTATCTGTGATATTTTATATACACACACACACACAAAGAGAGCCACACACATATATGTATAAAGTAAATATAATTAATAATAATTACTTTTTTAAAAATTGAAAATTAAACAAACTAGAAAAATAAATATATAAAACAAACCTTATCTGAGATTGATCAGTCGGCTGTTAATAAAATATAAAATGTATAATAATAATAATAATAATAATATTTTGAAAAAATGAAATAAAAAAAAAACTGTTTCATTAAGTGGTAATAATAAAATATATTTTAATAGTAGTAGTAGTACTAGTAATAATAATAGTATTAAAATAAATAAATAAAATATTACAGCGTATCTGAGATTGGACACACAGGTGGTGTGATGACCTTTGACCTTCAGCCGTGAACTGGCTTCAGGGGAAAGTCTCAGTGTGTCGGAAACACTGTTAAAGCAGCACGATTACATGAAGCAAGAGAGCAAGGATCAAGACTGCATATTTCTAGCATGTGATGATGGGAGTTAATAATGATGCTGTCAACACACCCATTGTCACAAACTCTAAAACATATTTCACATCACACACACTCAGTCTGACACAATAACGTCAACACTTTTATGTGTAAATCAAACCTAAAACCTAAAATATTGAACTTGTCGACACTGGAAACACATTCTCGCTATCTCAGATCAGATTGGCTGATGTGCAATCGTTCGCTGGCCGCTGCTCCGGCTGTGACTGTTGCCATGACAACATGACTCATTCCATTGGAATCCTAGTTAAATCACTCCTGGACAAATGCCAAACACTCACTCCCTGATTCTTGTTGCTAGGAGACAGAGGACGCTGTGCAGTGACCTGACCAGTTACACCAGCAACAGCTTGATCAACCCGAGGACTGGGAATCCACACAGAGAAACAATCAGCAACTTTCAAACAACAGCAATGTGATGCAAGGCCCAAAAACATCCAAAAACAAAAACAATAATTAAATAAATATTTATAAAAGTATTTTCAGGTTTGATCAAATAAATATATAAATGAATAAAATTAAAACAATAATATGACTATTATATTTTTATTTATAATAACATTAAATAATAATAACAAAAATATATTATTTATTTATTTGTTTAAAATAATATTAAATAATAATAATAAATATATTATTATAGATTTGATCAAACTAAATGAGAATATCAAATAATAATATAACAGTAAAAATAAACAAATTTTTGGAATACTGTAAATGTAATATTGTACATTTTTGTATTATTGATTCATTTTGGTTAAAGATTTGATCAAAATAAATATATAAATGACTAAAATAAAAATAATAATAATAATAATTACAATAACTGATAACTACAATTAGCCAAATAATAGGAATGCACTGATATGAAAATGATAATATTTTACCGGCTTTAATATATTTCGGCTAAATTCTTATCAGGCTGATAACGATAACATTACAAAATACAAAATAATAATACAATTAACAAATAAAAATAATACAAATAATTAATAATAATAATAATAATAATAGAATTACAATAATTACTAAAATATTATCTTAAATTAAAAATAAATAAATTTTTAATATTAATTAGGGCTGTCAAACGATTAATCACTATTAATCACATCCAAAATAAAAGCTTGTGTTTACATAATATATGTGAGTGCACTGTGTATAATTATTTTGTATATGCATATAAATACACACACATGCATGTATATTTAAGAAAAAATATTATTTATATAAAATATTGATATTTTTATATAATATAAATTATATATAAATCTATATACAGTATATACATGAAAATATTTCTTAAATATATACAAGCATGTGTGTGTATTTATATATACATATATAATAATTATACACAGTGCACCCACATATATTATGTAAACACAAACTTTTATTTTGGATGCGATTAATCGTTTGACAGCCGTAATATT